TCCATTGTATATCCTTGCCTCCTTTGTCGAAGATAAGGTGACCATAGGTTCGTGGATTTATCTCTGGGCTTTCTATTCTGTTCCATTGATCTATATTTCTGTCTTTGTGCCAGTACCATACTGTCTTGATGACTGTGGCTTTGTAGTATAGTCTGAAGTCAGGCAGGTTGATTCCTCCAGTTCCATTCTTCTTTCTCAAGGTTACTTTGGCTATTCGAGGTTTTTTGTATTTCCATACAAATTGTGAAATTATTTGTTCTAGTTCTGTGAAAAATACCGTTGGTAGTTTGATAGGGATTGCTAAATGCAATCTTTAAACTGAGTTATCACTTATCAGGGAGAAGGAAATGGCAGCTCACTCCGGTATTCTTTCCTGGCGAATCCCATGGACAGAGGAGCCTGGTGGGTTGCAGCCCACGGGGTTGCAAGGCTTCAGATGTGACTGAAGCGACTTAGCACATACACATGCATCACTTATCAGAAGACATTTTTACATAGTTTCCAGCACTAACAGTGACTAGCAGGAGAGTCCAGACCTGGAAGCCCGAAGAAAGAGATAATCCCTTAGATTCAAAACCTCATAAGCTTTTTCCTCTCCGTTGTTCCAGTATTGAATTATTCTCTGATGGTCAAACACCCCTTTCCGTTGCCATTGATACTTTCCAGGTTCTAGCTTTTATTACCTCTCCCTAACTTTATTACACAGGCATTCTTCCTGTTCTTATGGCTACAATATTTTTAAGGATTTGAGAGATTATTTAATCCAACTTTTCAATTTTTGAATGAATAAAATGAAGGTTATAGAAACACTCTAAAGTTGCATTCAGTTCAGTTCAGTCGCTCAGTCGTGTCTGACTGTTTGTGACCCCATGAATCGCAGCACGCCAGGCCTCCCTGTCCATCAGCAACTCCCGGAGTTTACTCAAACTCATGCTCATCAAGTTAGTGATGCCATCCGGCCATCTCATCCTCAGTCTTCCCCTTCTCCTCCTGCCCTCAATCCCTCCCAGCATCAGGGTCTTTTCCAATGAGTCAACTCTTAGGCATTCAACCCATGCCTTTTGATACCATTCCAATTCTCTTTCCACTCTTCCATTCTGGCATGCTGATTTTTCCTAAACCCAGGTTTGAACATGGCATATAACTACTTGAAACCTTCAGTATCTTCCTATTACCTAGAATAAATTACAAACTTCATAGTGTATAATTCAAAGATACTTGCAGTCTGATCACAGACCACTTTATCTCATTGTAGCACTTTGGAAACCGTAAAAGTTAGCCATATTAGATATACCTGATAATCCCCAAACAGAGCCTAAACTTTCTTGCTTTAATAGACTTTTAGTTATAAATATTCTTGGCCATTCACCCTTGTCCTCATCCCATTTTTGCCTACTGGGCAAATTCCTTTATGAAGTCTTTCTTGATTCTTCAAGCCAAAATGAATCTTCTAAATGCCTACATCAAACAATCAGGTTACAAAATTTCATGTGTGACAAACAGATGTAAGCCTTTTGTTTACTTATATCTAAGATTATAGAAAAACTGTTTCTTATCTCATATTAGGTTGATATGTAAAAATTTGTATTTTATATATATATATGTACAGTCCCGTCCCATAATAAAAGTTATAAGATTGAAATTTACTGAGTCCTGTAAATTTTGACACTTTAAAAAATAAAAGTGAAAAAAAAATAAATAAATAAAAGTGGTGGTAGATCACTTCTTTAAGTATATCTGAGAAGTAGAAATATCATAGAAAAATTTTTAAGGAGTTAAGATTTACACATAATGAAATACACATATTTTAACTGTATAATTTCATACATTTAAAAATATATAAGCCTACATAACTAATACTCTAGTCAAGATAAAGAATATATTTATCAATCCCCAAAATTCCCTTCTGCTGTTTTCCAGTTAAAACTTATATCCTTATAGACAGGCATTAAGCTCATTTCTCTCACTACAGATTAATTGTTTTGGTATAGCATATAAATGGGTTCATGTAGTAAGTGTTTGTGTCTGGTTTTGTTTATTTAACATAATGTTTTTGAGATTCATCTACATTGATATGTATATAAGTAGTTCATTTTTTTTCTTGAGTACTATTCCATTTTATGAACATACCATAATAAGTTGAATATTCATTCACCTATTGGTGGACATCTTTGAGCTATTATGAATACAGCTGCTATGATCATTTTTTTCAATTTCCTTTTGTGGATATGTGTTTTAATTTCTCTTGGGTAAATACTTCAGAATGAATTACTGGATCTTGGGTAGATGTATATATAACTTTTTTAGAAACTAAAAAATACCTTTCTAGATTTTGTACCATTTTACAATATCCCACAAGCAATATATAAGAGTTGTTCCACATTCTTGATAATGCTGATGTTGGTAATCTTTTAAATAATTTTTCATCATTTGTATATCTTCTTTTATGTAATATTCAGTCAAGTTTTTTGTCCATTTTAAAAATTGAATTGTCTTTTTTAAAAAACCAAGTTGTAGGAACTTATATATGTATATATATTCTAAATACAAGTCTTTGAAAGATACAACTGTTTTTTCTAAGGCTTTAATTTATTTATTTGTCTGTTGTTGAGCAGAGGCTTTTAATTTCAATGAAGTCTTATTTATCAATTTTCCTTTCATAGTAAATGCTTCCCATGATTTCTCTAAGAAATCTTTGCCTGCCCCAAGGTTGGAAATATCTTTATCTTGTTTGTGAACTTAGGGCAAAAAATTCAGTATTTATTTCATTGTTAAATATGATGTTAAGTATAGTTTTTTATAGATGCCTTTTACTGATTTGAGGAAATTTCCTTCTCATTCTAGCTTCTAGACATTTTAAAACATAAATGAGTGTTGAATTGTGTTCAAAACATTTTCTAAATTATTGAAACAGTTATGTGATTATTTTCCTTTAGTCTGTCAGTATGGCCAGTTAACATTGATCGATTTTAAAATGTTAAAACAAACCTCACCTGGTTATGCTGCATTATCCTTTTTATATATTGGTAAATTCAATTTTCTAATATTCTGTTGAGAATTTTTTGTGACTGAATTAATGCAACATATTTTTCTATAATTTTCTTTTCTTGTAAAGTTCTTCATAGGTTTTATATAAGTGTTCTGATAAACATAAGTTTTGAAAGTATTCTCTCATTCTCTGCTTTCCAAAAAAATTGTGTATTATTTCTTCTTTAAATGCTTAATAAAATTAACCAGTGAAAACATCTGGGATGGAGTTTTCTTTATAGGAAGTTTTCAAATTGCAAATTTAATTTCTTTGACAAATATGGTTTTAATCTATTCCTACCTGTGTCAGTTTTGGTAATCTGTGAGGAATTTACCCATTTTGTCTATGATTGACATTATTTGCATAAAGTTGTTTATCACATCCTCTCTAAATTCTTTTGACATCTGTAGTATTTCTAACACTATCTCCCATTTCATTCTTGATATTGGTCATTTGTGACTTTTTCCTTCTGTTTTAAAGCTCTAGTTGGGGCTTTTAAAATTATACTAATCCTTTCAGAAAATGTCTTGGTTAATCGTTTTCTCAATTCTTTGGGTCTTTTTTCAAAACTTCAAATATTTCCATTTTTATTCTTAGGCTCTTCATCATATTTAATCTATTCTTTTTCTGCTTCTTAAGAGGGAAGGTTGGATCATTGATTTTATACTTTATTTTTATCTAAGATAGGATTTAATACTATGAATTTCCTCCATCTTACAAATTTTGATATCATATTTTTATTAGTATTCAGTTCAAAATAATTTTTAATTTCTCACGTGTGTTTTTCTTCCACCTTTTTTAGGTTAAAATGTGTTGTTTAATTTCCAAGTTTTTTTAAGCAATTTTTGAGTCATCTTTTCTTATTGAATTCTAATTTAACATTGGTGTGGTGGTCGGAAAACATGTTCTATATGGTTTCTATCCTTTGAAATTTATTAACAATTGTTTTACAACCCTGCATTGTAGTGGATATTCCACACTCAAGAAGTCTGGGTATTCTATTATTTAGTGTGGTATTCTTTGGATGTTAATTATGTCAAATTGATTGATGGTGTTTTCAAATATTTTATCTTTATTAGTTTTTGCTGACCTGTTTTATCAACTGAGAGAGTATTGTTAAAAATCTCTATAATTATGGATTTGTCTCTGTTTTCTCTAAGATTATTAATTTTGCTGTACATGTCTGAAAACTTTATTATCAGGTATATTCA